TTGGGGTGAATTTTGGGCTGATTTTTGGGGATTTAGGGTGGGATTTGGTGTGAATCTGGGTGATTTTGGGGAGGTTTTTGGGGATTTGAGGTGACTTAGGGGATTTGGGGTGATTTTGGGGAGATTTTGGGGAGGTTTTTGGGGTGAATCTGGGTGATTTTTGGGGTGATTTTGGGGAGGTTTTCGGGGTGATTTTGGGTGGTTTTTGGGGTGAATCTGGGTGATTTTGGGGTGAATTTGGGGATTTGAGGTGATTTAGGGGATTTGGGGTGATTTTGGGGTGATTTTGGGGTGATTTTGGGAGGTTTTTGGCACGTACGGCGTCGGTGAAGGCGTCCACGTTCTGCTCCTCGTGAGCCTCCAGCAGCTTCTGGGGAGGAGGAGGAGGAGGAGGAAGGTGAGGAGGAAGGTGAAAATGAGGATGGCGTGAGGATGAAGAGGAGGATGAAGTAGAGGAAGAGGGGAATGAGGATGAAGATGATGAGGAGGATGAAGATGAAGATGAAGAAGGGGAGGATGAGGAGGATGAGGAGAAGAATGGGACGGGATGAGGATGAAGATGAGGAAGATGAGGAGGGAGGGAAGATGGTGAGAATGAAGATGAGGATGAAGATGAAGCTGAGGATGATGAGGAGGGGAGGAAGGCTGATGAGGATGAGGATGAAGCTGAGGATGGTGAGGATGATGAAGAAGATGAGGAGGGGAGGAAGGGTGATGGGGATGATGAGGATGAAGCTGAGGATGATGATGAAGATGAGGATGAGGATGATGAGGGGGGAGGAAGGATGATGATGAAGAGGATGAGGAGGATGATGAGGAGGGAGGAAAGCGGATGAAGATGAGGATGAGGATGCTGAGGAGGGAGGAAGGCAGATGGGGATGAGGAGGAGGATGAAGCTGAGGATGATGAGGATGAGGATGATGAGGATGAGGAGGAGGAGGAGGAGGAGGAGGATGAGGGGAGGAAGGCTGACCTTGAGCAGTTTGCACTCGCGGCAGTCGGAGAAGGCCGGGAACATTTCCTCGTAACGCTGCAGCGCCAGCTGGGGCAATTAACGCTAATTAACGCTCATTAATGCTAATTAACCACTCATTAACACTCATTAACACTAATTAACACTAATTACCCACTCGTTAACACCAACAAACACGAATGAACCCTGATGAACACTAATTAGCCCCTCATTAAACCCTAATGAACCCCAAATTAAGCCCTTACTAAACGCTCATTAACCTCCTAATTAAGCCCTAATTAATCCCTGATAATCACTGATTAATCACCTTGGTGTTGAGCATGTCCACGCCCTGAAGAAATGCTCCAGTCCTGACCCCAATTAACCCCTATTAACCCCTAATTAACCCCAAACTGACCCCTAATTAACGCTAATTAACTAATTAATCACCTTGGCGTTGAGCATGTCGACGCAGAAGTGGCAGAGGGCGGCCCTGAAGAAATGCTCCAGTCCTGACCCCAAGTCAGAGCTCCAAAATTTGGGATCAGAGCCCCAAAATTTGGGATCAGAGCCCCAAAAACTTTGGGATCAGAGCCCCAAAATTTGGGGTCAGAGCTCCAAAATTTGGGATCAGAGCCCCAAAATTTGGGATCAGAGCCCCAAAAACTTTGGGATCAGAGCCCCAAAATTTGGGGTCAGAGCTCCAAAATTTGGGATCAGAGCCCCAAAATTTGGGATCAGAGCCCCAAAAACTTTGGGATCAGAGCCCCAAAATTTGGGGTCAGAGCTCCAAAATTTGGGATCAGAGCCCCAAAATTTGGGATCAGAGCCCCAAAAACTTTGGGATCAGAGCCCCAAAATTTGGGGTCAGAGCTCCAAAATTTGGGATCAGAGCCCCAAAATTTGGGATCAGAGCCCCAAAAACTTTGGGATCAGAGCCCCAAAATTTGGGGTCAGAGCTCCAAAATTTGGGATCAGAGCCCCAAAATTTGGGATCAGAGCCCCAAAAACTTTGGGATCAGAGCCCCAAAATTTGGGGTCAGAGCTCCAAAATTTGGGATCAGAGCCCCAAAATCTTTGGGATCAGAGCCCCAAAATTTGGGGTCAGAGCTCCAAAATTTGGGATCAGAGCCCCAAAATCTTTGGGATCAGAGCCCCAAAATCTTTGGGATCAACGCCCCAAAATTTGGGATCAGAGCCCCAAAATCTTTGGGATCAGAGCCCCAAATCTTGGAGATCAAACCCCAAAATTTTGGGATCAGAGATCCAAATTCTTTGGGATCAGAGTCCCAGATTTTGGGATAAGACCCCCCCAAATATTGGGATCAGAACCCCAAAATCTTTTCAGATCAAACCCCAAAATTTGTGGGATCAGACCCCAAATTCTTTGGGATCAGAGCCTCAAATTTTGGGGTCAGATCTTTAAATTTTGGCATTTAAATCCTTTGGGAACAGACCCCAAAATCTTTTCAGATCGGAGACCAAAATTTGGGATCAGAGCCCCAAATTCTTTGGGATCACGGCCCAAAATCGTGGAGATCAAACCCCAAAATTTGGGGGATCAGGGCCCCAAATCTTTTGGGATCAGAGTCCCGAATTTTGGGATCAGAGCACCAAAACCTTTTGGGATCAAGGTCCCAAAATCTTTGGGATCAGAGCCCCAAATCTTGGAGATCAAACCCCAAAATTTGTGGGATCTGACCCCAAATTTTTTGGGATCAGAGCCCCGAATTTTGGGGTCAGACTCCAGAATCTCCAGGAACAGACCCCAAAATCTTTGAGATCAAACCCCAAATTTTGGGGTCAGATCCCCAAAATCTTTAGGATCAGACCCCGAATTTTTTGGGAAGTTTCAGGGATTGGACGCCGCAGATTTGGGAATCGGATCCCGAACCCTCAGGGACAAAAAAAACCCCCAAAAAAGCAGGAAAATGTCAAAAAAACCCCAAAGAAACAGGAAAATGACCAAAAATAAAAGCCAAAAACACGAGGGAAAAAATCAGGAAAACTAAAGAAATATGTGAAAAAATGAAAGAAAATAGGCAGAAAAATGAGGAGAAAAAGCAGAAAAATGAGGAAAAAAGGAAAATTAGGGGAAAAGGCAGAAAAATGAGGGAAAGAAGCAGAAAAATTTAAGAAAAAAGCAGAAAAATGAAGGAAAAAAGGCAGAAAAATGAAGCGAAAAAAGCAGAAAAATGAGGGAAAACAGCAAAAAAAAATGAAAGAAAAGAGCAGAAAAATGAAACAAAAAAGAAAAATGAAGGAAAATAAGCAGAAAAATGAGGGAAAAAAAGGAAGGAAAATGAAGGAAAAAAATTAAAAAATGAAAGAAAAAAGCAGGAAAATTAGGAAAAAAAGCAGAAAATTAAAGAAAAGAGGCAGAAAATGAGGGAAAGGGGCAGGAAAGGAGGAAGAGGAGGAGGAGGAGGGGAGGAAGGCCCGACCTGCTCGTAGATGTCGATGGCGCGCGGGAACTGCTCGAGCTGCGCCGCGTACGCCGCCACCTTCAGCAGGCACTTGTTGGCTGAGCTGGGGGCGGGAGGGGCAGGGGGCAGAATTCCCAAAAAAACCCAAAATCCCGAAAATTCCACCCGAAAAAACCAAAAATCCCAGCCGGAAAACCCAAAAATCCAAAAATCCCAGCTGAAAAAACCCAAAAATCCCAGCCAAAAAACCCCAAAATCCCAGCCAAAAAAACCCAAAAATCCCAGCTGGAAAACCCAAAAAATCCCAGCTGGAAATCCCAAAAATCCCACCCAAAAAACCAAAATCCCAGCCAAAAAACCCAAATCCCACCCAAATCCCAAACCCAGCCACCTTCAGCAGGCACTTGTTGGCTGAGCTGGGGGTGGGAGGGGCAGGGGGCAGAATTCCCAAAAAAACCCAAAAAACCCAAAAATCCCAGCCAAAAAAACCCAAAATCCCAGCTGAAAATCCCAAAAATCCCAAGCCAAAAAACCCAAAATCCCAGCCGAAAAAACCCAAAAATCCCAGCCGGAAAACCCAAAAATTCCAGCCAAAAAAACCCAAAAATCCCAGCTGGAAAACCCAAAAAATCCCAGCCGGAAATCCCAAAAATCCCACCCAAAAGCCCAAAAATCCCAGCCAAAAAAACCCAAAAATCCCAGCCAAAAAACCCAAATCCCACCCAAATCCCAAACCCAGCCACCTTCAGCAGGCACTTGTTGGCTGAGCTGGGGGTGGGAGGGGCAGGGGGCAGAATTCCCAAAAAAACCCAAAAAACCCAAAAATCCCAGCCAAAAAAACCCAAAATCCCAGCTGAAAATCCCAAAAATCCCAGCCAGAAATCCCAAAAATTCCAGCCGAAAATCCCAAAAATTCCAGCCGGAAATCCCAAAAATCCCAGCCGGAAAACTCTGATTCCCACTAAAATCCCAAAAAATCCCACTCAAAAAAACCCAATTCCCACCCAAATCTCAGAAATCCCACCCCAAAAAACCCGAATTTCCACTGAAATCCCAAAAATCCCACCCAAACTCAAATTCCCCCCCCAAAAACTCAAATTCCCACCAAAATCCAAAAAAATCCCGCTCAAAAAACCCCAAATCCCAAAAATCCCACCTGCAAAGACCCAAAAATCCCTCCCAAAATCCCACCCAAAAAACCCCAAAATCCCACCCGAAAAATGGCAAATCCCAGCCAAAATCCCACCCAAAATACCCCAATTTCTACCCAAATCCAAAGACTCTCACCCAAAACCAGCAAATCCCAAAAATCCCACCCTAAAACCCCCAAAATCTCAACCCCAAAAAACCCAATTCCCACTGAAATCCCAAAAATCCCACCCAAAAACCCCCCAAATTCCACCCAACCCCCCAGATCCCAATGGATCCCAATGGATCCCAAAGGATCCCGGCCAAGGTCTCAGCAGATCCCAACGAATCCCAACCCAGATTTGGAGCTGGGATCCCTCGGGATCCACTGGGATCTGTTGGGATCCTCAGGGATCCGTTGGGATCTGCAGGGCCTGGTGGGATCCAGGTTGGGACCGACTGGGATCTGTTGGGTCTTGGGTTGGGATCCGTTGGGATCCGGGTCGGGATCTCTCCCGATCCTTTGGGGATCCCCAGGGATCCACTGAAATTCGGGTCAGAATCTGTTGGGATCTCTTGGGATCCCTCAGGATCAACTGGGACCCAGATCTGGGATCCACTGGGACCCTTTGTAGTTTGGGTTGGGATCCATTGGGATCTCCAGGGCCTGGTGGGATCCGGGTTGGGACCGACTGGGATCCGTTGGGTTTGGGGTTGGGATCCGGGTCGGGATCTCTCCTGATCCTTTGGGATCTCCAGGGATCCATTGAAATTCGGGTCAGAATCCATTGGGATCTCTTGGGATCAACCGGGACCCAGATCCGGGATCCACTGGAAGCCTTTGTGATTTGGGTTGGGATCCATTGGGATCTACCGGGACGCGAGGGGTTGGGGGGGTCGGGATCCACTGGGATCTGTTGGGATCTGGGTTGGGATCGACCGGGATCCCTCGGGATTGGGATCTGGGGAGACGCGTTGGGATCCGCTGGAATCCATCGGGATTCGGATTTGGGATCCCTCGGGATCCATCAGGATTCGGATTTGGGATCCCCCAGGATCTGTTGGGATCTCTGGGGATCTAGAGCTGGGACCTGCTGGGGTTTGGGATCCCCCAGGATCTGTCGGGATCCATTGGGATTTAGCTTGGGATCAGCTGGGATCCCTCGGGATCTGCTAGGACCCCCTGGGACCCTTTGGGACCCGGGTCGGGATCAACTGGGATCCATCGGGATCCTCTGGGCCCGGGATCTGCCAGAACCCGTTGGGGGTTGAACCTGGGATCCGTGTCGGGATCTCATGGGATCCATTGGGGCTCAGATCCGGGATCCCCGGGATCTGCTGGGATCTGGGCCTGGGATCTGCCGGGGTTTGGGCCTGGGATCCCTCAAAAATCCGTTGGGATCCCCGGGATCTGCTGGGATCCGGATTTGGGATCCCCCGGGATCTCTTGGGATCCGCTGGGATTTGGGATTCCCGGGACCTGTGGGGATCCCTCGAAATCTGTTGGGGTTTGGATCTGGGATCCTGCGGGATCCCCTGGGACTGGATTTGGGATCTCTCTGGATCCCCTGGGACCCGCTGGGATCTGCTGGGATCCCTCAAGGATTTCTGGAGATTTGGGATCCCCCAGAATCCGTTGGGATCCTCTGGGATGCGTTGGGATCCCCGGGATCTGCTGGGATTTGGGATCCCCGGGATCTGTTGGGATCTGGGTCTGGATCCCGTGGGATCTGTGTGGATTCGGGATCCCCTGGGATCTGCTGGAATTCCCCGGGATCCGCTGGGATCCGTTGGGATCCGCTGGGCTCCGGTACCTGGTGGATTCCTCCCCTCGGTAGTAATCGGCCGCCTGCTCGTAGTGCGCCACGGCCTGGGGGGAAAACGGGAAAATTCGGGAAAATTCGGGAGAATTCGGGATCAGATCCCAAAAAATCCCCCAAAAAACCTCCCAAAAACAGCCGGGAGAGACGGGATCCACCCGGAAAAATCCGGAAAAAAACCCAGAGAAACTCAAAAGATCGCGGGAAATCCCGGGGAAAATCCCAGAAAATCCTGGGGAAACACGGAAAAAAATCCTGGGGAAATCTGGGAAAAAATTCCAGAAAAATGCCAGGAAAAGTCTGGGAGAATTCTGGGAAAAAATCTCGGAAAACCTCAAAAATATCCCAGAAAAATCTGGAAATAACTTGGAAAAAAAATCCCAGAAAATTGAGGAAAAAATCCCAGAAAAAATCTGCAAAAATCCTGGGTGAACACCGGAAAAATTCCAGGAAAAAGCTGGGAAAAATTCACAGAAAAACTCAGGGAAAAAACAGGGAAAATCCGGGGAAAAAAACTGAAAAAATCCCAGAAAAAAACCCCAGAAAATCCTGGAAAAATCCTGGAAAAAAATCACAGAAAATCCGGGAAAAAATCTCAGAAAACAGCAGGAAAAAAATGCCCAGAAAATCCTGGAAAACCCCAGGAAAAATTCTGGGAAAATCCCAGAAAAATCCTGGAAAAATCCCAGAAAAACCTGGGAAAATAAAAAGGGGGTAAAAATTGGATTAAAATGGGATTAAAAAGGGGATTGAAACAGGATAAAAATGGGTAAAAGAAGGGATAAAAATGGGATTAAAATGAGGCAAAAACAGAATAAAAGTAAGATTAAAAAAAGGATTAAAAAGGGATAAAAATGGGATTAAAAAGTATGAAAAAACTAATTAAAAAGTGATAAAAATGGGGTAAAACTTGGGTAAAAATGAGATTTTAAAAGGACAGAAAAGGGATAAAAAATGGGCTAAAAATGGAATATAAAAAAAGATGAAAATGGAATAAAAATGGAATAAAAAAGGATAAAAAATGGGATTAAAACAGGATATAAAAAGGGATAAAAATGGAATAAAAATGGAATAAAATTGGGATAAAAACGGAATAAAATTGGGATAAAAGCTCCAAAATTCCAGGAGAAATCCCAGGAGGGAACAGGAGCTGAAATCCTGGAATTCTCCATCCCTGCCCCTCCCCCCTCCTGGAAAGTTCTGGAATTCCGGTGGCTCCGGGGCCGCCCCCGCTCCGTCTGCTCCTGCTGGGGGCAGGAAATGCTGGAAAATTCCCAGGAATTCCTGGAAAAATCCCAGGAAAACACAGAAAAATGCAGAAAAGCCCCAAAACCCCAGAAAAATCCCAAGAAAATCCTGGGAAAATCCCAGAAAATCTTGGGAAAACATAGAAAAAATGCCCAAAATTCCCAGAAAAATCCTGGAAAATTCCCAGGAATTCCTGGAAAAATCCCAGAAATGCTGGAAAAAGCCCAGAAAAATCCCCAGCTCTCTGAAAACTACTAAAAAAAAATCCCAAAAAACCCCAAAAATCCCTGAGAAATTCTGGAAAATCCAAGAAAAATTTAAAATAAAGAAAAATCTGGGAAAAACCCCAGAAATTCCTGGAAAAATTCCAGAAAAAACCTCTAAAATTTCAGAAAATCACCAAAAAAATCCCCAAAAAATTATCACAAAATCTTGGGAAAATCACGGAAAAATCCCCCCAAAATCCGGGGGAAAACCTCAGAAAAATCCCAGAAAAATACAGAGAAACCCCCCAAAATCCCAGAAAAAATCCTGGAAAAATCCCCAAATTAAAAAAAAATTTAAAAATCCGGGGAAAACCCCAGAAAATCCTGGAAAATTCCCAGAAAAATCCCCCAAAAATACCAGAAAATCTCGGGAAAATCCCAAAAAAATCTCGGGAAAATCCCAGAAAAATGCCAGAAAAAAACCCAAATTCCTAGAAAAATTAAAAATAAAAAAATTCCCAAAGAAATAAAAAGAAACCTCCCAGAAAAGTCCCAAAAAATCCTGGAAAATCCCAGAAAAATCTCCCAAATTCCCAGAAATTTCCCAGGTTTTTTTCCATGATTTTTCCAGGATTTTCCTGGGAATTTCGGAGATTTTTCTGAGATTTTCTGAGAATTTTTTCCAGACTTTTTGGGGATTTCCCCAGGATTTTTTTAGGATTTTCCTGGATTTTTCAGGGATTTTCCCAGAATTTTCCAGGATTTTTCTGGGGATTTTTCCTGTGATTTGTGGGGGATTTTTGAAGGATTTTTCTGGAATTTTTTTTGGGATTTTTCCGGGATTTTTTGAGGATTTTCCCAGGATTTTTTCCTGTGATTTTTTTCTAGGATTTTCCCGGGGATTTTCCAGGATTTTTCTTAAATTTTTTTTTCTTTTCCCGGGATTTTTCCAGAATTTTCCCAAGGTTTTCATGGAATTTTTCCAGGGTTTTTTTTCTGGGATTTCCCAGGATTTTTCTGGGGATTTTTCCTGTGATTTTCTTCCGGGATTTTTTCTGTGATTTTTTGAGGATTTTTCCAGAATTTTCCTAGGGATTTCTCCAGGAATTTTTTAGGATTTTCTCGGATTTTTCCGTGATTTTTTGAGGACCTTTTTTTTATTTTTCCACACTTTCCCAGGATTTTTCTGGGGACTTTTTTCTGTGATTTTCCCGGGATTTTTTTCCTGTGATTTTCCTGGGATTTTTCTGTGATTTTCCTGTGATTTTCCCGGGATTTTCCCGGGATTTCTCTGGGATTTTCCTGGGATTTTTTTCCTGTGATTTTCCCAGGATTTTCCTGTGATTTTCCTGGGATTTTCCCGGGATTTTCCCAGGATTTTTTTCCTGTGATTGTCCCAGGATTTTTTTCCTGTGATTTTCCCGGGATTTTCCTGTGATGAAAACGGGGACAGAAACGGGAAATTGGGGAAAAAACAGCAATAAAAACGGGAAATTTGGGATGAAAATGGGAATAAAAATGGGAAATGGGGAATGGAAACGGGGACAGAAATGGGGAATTGGGGAAAAATGGGAATAAAAATGGGAAATTGGAAAAAATGGGAATAAAAATGGGAAATTGGGGATGAAAATGGGAATAAAAATGGGAAATTGGGGAAAAATGGGGATGAAAATGGGAAATTGGGAATGAAAATGGGAAAAATGGGAATAGAAATGGGAAATTGGGAACAGAAGTGGGAATAAAAACGGGAAATTGGGGATGAAATGGAAAAAATGGGAAATTGAGGATGAAAATGGGAATAAAAATGGGAAATTGGGGAAAAATGGGGATGAAAATGGGAAATTGGGAATGAAAATGGGAAAAATGGGAATAAAAATGGGAAATTGGGAACAGAAGTGGGAATAAAAACGGGAAATTGGGGATGAAAATGGGAAAACAGGAATAGAAATGGGAATAAAAATGGGGAAAAAATGGGAAATTGGCAATAAAAATGGAGAAATGGGAATATTCCAAGAAGAAATGGGAATGAAAATGGGAAAATGGGAATAAAAATGGGAAAATGAGAATATTCCAAGAAAAAATGGGAATAAAAATGGGGAAAATGGGGAAAAAATAGGAAATTTGGAATAAAAATGGAAAAGTGGGAATATTCCAAGAAAAAAATGGGGATAAAAATGGAAAAATGGGGATAAAAATGGAGAAATGGGAATATTCCAAGAAGAAATGGGAATGAAAATGGGAAAATGGGGAAAAAATGGGAAATTGGGAATAAAAATGGAAAAGTGGGAATATTCCAAGAAAAAAATGGGGATAAAAATGGGAAAATGGGGATAAAAATAGAATAAAAATGGAAAAATGGGGATAAAAATGGGAATATTCCAGGGAAAAGAGGGATATTCCATGGAATAAATGTGAATTTTCCATGGAATAATGGAAATTTCCCAGGAAAAATGGGAATTTTCCAGGGGAAAATGGGAAAATCTTTGGAAAAAGAGGAATATTTAAGGGAAAAATGGGAATTTTCCAGGGAATAAATGGGAATGTTGCATGGAAAAATGGGAATTTCCCAGGGGAGCAGCTGGGTGTGGGAGGGGGAACAGAAACCCCCCAATCCCAAATTCTGGGGGGGAATTTTGGGAATTCTCTCTCACCATGTCTGTGTAGATCTCGATGGCGCGGAGCAGGCAATTGACAGCCTCTGGAAAAGGGAAAATTGGAAAAAATTGGGGGAAATTGGGGGAAAATTGGGAAAAATGGGGGGAAAAATGGGGAAAAAAGGGGAGAAATGGGGGAAAAATGGGGAAAAAAGGGGAGAAATGGGGGAAAAATGGGGAAAAAAGGGGAGAAATGGGGGAAAAATGGGGAAAAACAGGGGAAAATGGGAATGGGGCCCAAATTTCAGGATCAGAGCCCAAATTTTGGGATCAAACCCCAAAATCTTTGGCATCAGAGCCCCAGGATCCTTGGGATCAGACCCCAAATTTTTTGGGAGTAGACCCCAAATTTTGGGATCAGAGCTCCAAATTTTTTGGGATGAGAGCCCCAAAATCCTCGGGATCAGAGCCCCGAAGTTCCCAGAGTTAAAATCCAAAAAAAATCAGGATTGGACCCCCCCAAAACTTTGGGAATTCTGCCCAAAAACCGCAGGAATTCTGCTCAGAAAGCGGAACGTTCTGCTCAAAAACCTGGGAATTCTGCCCGAAATTCTGGGAATTCTGCCCAAAACTTTGGGAATTCTGCCCAAAACTCTGAGAATTCTGACAACAACTTTGGGAATTTTGCCCAAAATCCTGGGAATTCAGCCCAAAACCCCGGGAATTCTGATGTAAACTTTGGGAATTCAGCCCAAAACCCCGGGAATTCTGACGAAAGCTTTGGGAATTCTGCCCAAAACGTTGGGAGTTTTGCCCAAAATCCCGGGAATTCAGCCCAAAACCGCGGGAATTCGGCCCCATCTGCTCAGCTCGGGGATCCCCGGGGAAAAGGGGGAAAAAAGGGGGAAAATGGGAAAAAAAAGTGGGAAAAAAAGTGGGAAAAGACCCCCAGGGAGGAGGGGCACGGGAGCCGGGAACATCCGGGAATTTTGGGGGATTTTTGGGGATTTTGGGGGGGAGTTTTGGAATTTTCAGGGGATTTTGGGGAGTTTTGAGGGGATTTTTGGGATTTTAGGGGGATTTTGGGGAATTTTCAAGGGATTTTGGGGAGTTTTAGGGGATTTTTGGGAGTTTTAGAGGGATTTTCATGGGGTTTTAGTGGGATTTTAGAGAGATTTTATTGTAATGAGATTTTAGAGCAATTTTAGTGGGATTTTAATGAGATTTTAATGAGATTTTAATGGGATTTTAATGAGATTTCAGTGGGATTTTAGCAGAGTTTTACTGGGATTTTAATGGGATTTAAAGAAGATTTTAATGGGATTTAAAGGAATTTTCCCAGAATTTCAGCGGGATTCCAATGGGACTTTTGTGGAATTCCCTCCCCCACGCCCCCAGACCCCCCAGAATTCCCAAAATTCCCCAAAATTCCTGGAATTCCCAGCCCTTACCCTGCGGATCTGCCTTCTGGAAGGATCTGGGATTTTAGGAGCATTTTAATGGGATTTTAGTGGAATTGTTAATGGAATTTTAGAGACATTTTAATGAGATTTTAGTGGAATTGTTAATGGGATTTTAAAGAGACTTTAATGTGATTTTAGTAAAGTTTTACTGGGATTTTAATGGGATTTTAGAGAGATTTTAATGGGATTTTAGTGGAATTGTTAATGGGATTTTAGAGAGGTTTTACTGGGATTTTAGTGAAATTGTTAATGGGATTTTAGAGAAGTTTTAATGGGATTTTAGTGAAATTTTACTGGGATTTTAGTGGAATTGTTAATGGGATTTTAGAGAGATTTTAGTGGAATTTTAGGAGAATTTTACTGAGATTTTAATGGGATTTTAGTAGAATTTTACTGGGATTTTAGTGGAAT